CATAACTATGCAAACAATGGCTATATTCACAACCAGTCAAGCTTAAAATGACAAAGCCATTAATGATATTACACTACTGGTAGTATGCATATTATACTGGCCTAGTATGTCAATACTTAAACACACAATCAACTCCAACTCGAAATCAGAACAGATGTGTTCTTGTGCTCAAGTCTATCTCCAAACACATCGCATGAGACTCACTTCAGTGAAACCTACGAGCACGGGTATGGTGTTGACAAACCTAGAAACATAATCAGGGCGAACCAGGATTGGAACCCACAATCATAGGTTTCTGGTGTGTCCAAGGGACACAACTCTGCACAGCTGCAAAAAGATGAGTTATTATGAATATTCTTGGGATATTTTTGTGTGAAATTGTGTGAACAGTCTTCACAACAAATAAAATAGTCCCAAAATTTTCATGATCCCTATGTTTTTTTGTTCAGTGTATGAGTCAGATGGTTCAATTCAACAATATCTGGTGTTATACTTTGGCACTGCTGAACCTGATACGATTCGTTTTCAAAGGCACTGACATTTAAAGTCTGCAATCATATTTCCAAGTAGCAATGTTTTCAATCTTTGGATAAAAACCAAAAGGATAATTTCAACATGATTAGGCAGTTTTTTTTCTTATTTCTGACCAAAATACCAACAATAATAACACAAATAACAAAAATAACATAATAGCAAAGTTTCATATAACTGTTAAGAATTCATAACCTTGTCAAATAAACAAACTGCCGTATTCGACGTAATAAGCACCCCGCTCTAATAAGCGCCCACGGCGATATTTGCTAATATATTGGCTAGTGAACAATCCCAATTAGCACCCCTTCTGATTGATCAATGTACACAAGACTTATTTATTCGCGTATAATACACACTCATGTGTTATATGCACCCTTAATTACGGGCAATTAAATTTTGGAAAAATGTATCTGTCATATATAAACATTTCAGGCTGTCAGCATAAACCCCGAAATTTATCTTTCAACTCTGTTTTTTTCACCAAAATAATATTCTTATAAGAGCCCCTTATTTCTAATTTGAGAGTGCCCTGGGCACTTATAACGTCTAATACGGTATTTCAAAACAGTCATATGCTTATGAGAAGTATAAGTAATAACAATCATAATATATCATATTCAGTTATGATTATCACAATATTAGCACAGAAGGCACACTGTTAAAGCAGAAACAAGGATCTAGCTACATAAACAGGACTTATTTAAAAAAACACAGCAAAAAAGCATGGACGGATTCATTTTCAAGCAGATTCATACAAAAATAATGTTTGGGTCAGTAAAGTACTGCAAAAAAGCCGATGGGATTCATTCTCAATCAGACTCATACAAAAATAATGGATTGGGTCAGTAAAATACTGTAAAAACGCCGATGGGATTCATTCTCAATCAGACTCATATGAAAATAATGGATTGGGTTTGTAAATCAGCTCAGTCAAGTGACTGGTGTAATCCTTTTCTACTTGCTGATGACCTTGCAGACCCTTCACTGATCACAAGCCAAGGGAGATAACTCTGCGTGAAGCAACAATGCCCCCATGGCATCATTGACAAACTGGCAGCAGCTTTGGATGAGGGGACTACTGGCCAATGAATGAACACAGTCCTTCTGGTAGTGCAAAAACGTAACGAGAGACACATAAAACCACATGTACCCTGAATGATACTGCTATAACAATTTTTTCTTACTGAAATGTTTGAATCTGACATTGTAAAATAGTAAACAAGCTGTGTAAAATAAACATGACTTGTAAATAAGGTGTGTCTTTTTGCTTCGTTGCTGGCAGTAAGGAATTTATTTTCCTGCACAGAAGTATATTTTCTACATGGTGGGGTATAAGAGACTTATTCTCCGCTCAGAAATGTATCTCTCTCCAAGGCACAAGGCCCTAGTTAACTTTTTTTGACAGGGGGGCAAATATTTGTACAAGTATCCCCAACTTGATTCAAATAAAATGGTTTTCTATAAAAAATCCGGGGGGGGGGGGGAGGGGGGGGGGGAGAGGGGGGGGGACTACGGCACTGAGGCGGGACACAAAGTATTTTATCAAGACTTCCTGAGCCAATCAGATCTCATCATTCTGACATGGAGGTATAACAATGTAGGTTAAATGCTCACAGCAGTTAATGAAGAGTTGTACCCTGTATGTAATCACTGTCCTGTAAATACTCCGGAAACACTGAAACATTGTTAGTTGAATGCTTGGGCCACAATCACATCAGACTAAATTTAAGAAGTGCAGTACTTGAGAAAGACAGCACATTTCCTCAAGATACACTACTGGGGCAACCTATTTAATGTTTGAATTCGTTGGGCTATATTTGACTTTGTGTCTGAATTGTGAAAATATGATATTATTCAGATGACAAATAGATTCATACATTGACTTTATGTCAATTAATGATTTTGGTTGTTTTGTCTGATCTGCTTGTTTTTATGAAATTAGTACCTATTAATCAGGAATGACCGTGTTACTTTCCTGTGGTTTTAACTAATAAATTAGATATTGAAGCAGACTGGTTAGGGATCACAATTTCCTTATTCACTTTGCTCTTGTTAAAAGCCATTTGATGTGTTGGGAACAAACTGACCTTTAAAGATCCAGGTCGCCCTTAAACTCTAATCCCAGCGAGAATGCCAAGATGGTTGCAGTTACTACCTGTGGACAATCTCATTAAAATTAGATCTTAGTTCTCGCTACCGCTAAACAAAGATCTGAGGACATCCCATCAGGGGTCACGTCAGACCGACCTTTCATCCGACCAATCAGAGCGTCGCTTACCAGATCATGAAAGTGACAGTCGGAATGTGATTTCTAATCATGCAGCCTTGAAAAGGTATTCCGAACGATAGTTACGGGCTTAACGACTGAATCTATACAATCTATACAATCTAGACCATGTGTTAGCCATTATAGAACTATCTTTTGTTCAGGTTTCAAATTTTTAAGCAAGAATTTGTCTAAATATGTTTCGAAGCGTAGTCGCCAATTTGAATTTAGTGCTGTACAGAACAAGAAAGCTGCCTTCTGATTGGCTAATGTCGACTTCTTGTCAGTAATTCCATTGGTCGCTCAGAGTTCGCGAAAGGTCGGTCTGACGTGACCCGTAATGGGATGTCCTCAGATCTTTGTTTAGCGGCAGCGAGAACTAAGATCTGATTTTAATGAGACTGTACCTGTGTACTATGTTAGTCGATTCCAAATCAAATGCCCACTGACTAAGCGTTTAGAAAGAACCAACACTGCCATGAAACTAAACAGTCACTAAAATAATCAAGTGCACATTTGTTCTAAATGACTGATAACAGTTTTGCATGTTGCCGCATCTGAAGACAAATCCTCTTTGAACACATATTCTGGCAGTGATCTATGTGATACTGTCTTGGACAGAACTATTCAGAACTGAGCAAAACTGTACAGAGCTGTACAGAAATGTACGGAACTACACAGAACAAAACAGAACTGCACAGAACAATACAGAATTGTACGGAACTACACAGAACTGAGTCGACCTGTACAGACCTGAACAGAATTGTACGGAACTACACAGAACTAAGGCGATCTGTACAGACCTGAACAGAAATGTACGGAACTATACAGAACAAAACAGACCTGCACAGAACAATACAGAATTGTACGGAACTATATAGAACTGAGTCCACCTGTACAGAACTGAACAGAAATGTACGGAACTATACAGAACTGAACAGAAATGTAGTGTTTTGTTTCAAATTAGTACGGTAGAGAAGAGGTCAGATGAGGGCCCTTTCTGTTCATACATTCAAGCATATTAAAACAGAGCATATCTAAATATGTTCATTCATACAAATTCAACAAGGTATTTCAACCATTCAACCAAACACCACCAGGCACTGGCTTGGAACACTTTCGTAACATTCAGCCCAAAGCATCCCTGGATATTATATGACGATGCTACCGATTATGTGGATTACATGAGATCTAAGCAGAAGCATAATTTGAAAAATATGTTCATCATCGTATATCTAGCTGCTGGATCCAGACATGGGATGCAGGGGTGTGTATCCTCTGCTTCTAGACAGTTCCTAATACTATTCTTATAATGAGTGAAGTCATAAATCTCCAAATAATATTCCACAACACTCTGTATTAACAGTACAAAATGATATCTGCCACATCATCACATCACATCCCCACAGCATCAGAAACCTAGCAAGAAGAAGGCAGGGATGGAAAGGAAGTTATTCTCAAGGGTGCCACAAGGCACTTCTAAAATAGCCCAGGTGTGCCCTAGGGAATTTAAGAGTGCCAACAAGAATACTGATAAGATTATTTGAAACACAGGAATCCTCGTATTTGCCGTATTAAGCACCCCATTACAATAAGTGCCCCCTGACCAGGTACTAGACCAAAATGAAAATCTATGAAAGCCCGAAAATGTATGTGACAGTCAAAAGTATCTTTTGCAGATGTTTTATAGAAAAAGCAGCAGTGTAGAAGGTATAATTGCCAAGAATTTATTATGGAAAACATTTTCAAGACATTTTTTTAGACTGTTCTCAAATACATTCTTTTATAAGCACACTTTGTCAATTGCCTAACGATCCAGGGTGCTTATTACTGCAAATACGGTCGACATGAATTTCAAACATTGGGGGAAAACAGCCTACTTTAACTTGGCTGATGAGCAGTATCAGATTAATCTGAATAAATTATTTGATTGTTTGACCTTAGAACTATTCATGGCCATACATACATCACGCTTTCCAAAGCTGGTACCATATCGTCAAATTATCCAAATCTTAAATTTACTCATCAAGGCTTAACCTACTATCAGTGAGTTGGGTTTAACGCCGCTTTTAACAGTATTCCAGTTATATCACGGCGTGTCAGCTTAATGTGGGAGGAAAGCCCGAAGTGATGCAGGTCTCAGACGTTTACCACTTCGGTGAAACCCACGAGCATGGGTATGGTGCTGACAAACCTAGAAACATAATCGGGGCGAACCGGGATTCGAACCCACAATCATAGGTTTCTGGCGTGCCCAAGGGACGCAACTCTGCACAGCGAATCGTGGCGCGTTAGACGACTGGGCCACCCGTGCCCCCAAACGTACTATTAATGTGTACTAGGCTGTGTTGATGTACTTGGGAGATATGCCAGAAAGCTTAGAGGAACAGTTTTTATCCTAATGTAGGAAGACTACAGGCATTGTCAGTCAGCATCTCAGAGCTCCCTCCTTGTAAGAGTCATGTTCCTCAGTTTCTACATCTCTTGTAACAGAAAACAAATTAATATTCTTCTTTTTTATGAAGGTTATTGTTATTTTGTTGAAGATTTTAAGGCTAAAAAAAATAATAGTCTTGGTTCTCAGGCAAGGCCGCATCATCATAAAGTCTGCCGTTTCATTTTTATTTCCATTTTACAAAAATCCTAATACTTGAAAACAATGTGATCCAAAATAGCAGGCAGTTACTTCCCTTTACATGTACACTGCTGTACTCTGCATATTGTGTTATGGTCCCAGCAGCAATAGGAGTTTGTATTCTTGTTTATGTGGGGAGGCCCTGTCTCAGGTTGATGGTACACAACTGTTTATTTGGTCATATGCTAGTTTGAACAATCGAAAAAAATAAATAAACACCGCCCGCCTGCACTATATTTTCAAAAGTCATTGCCTGAGAACCAGTTCTCTTATTTCTTTAGGTCTAATATTCGCAATTATGAAACAGTCAAAAATTCAAATTTATCCAGTCAACTTAACTCATTCTGTACTCAAGGACAATTACGTACTACCACACAGTAGCATGGGATTCTCGGCCTGGCTCTATCAGGGAGATACCATCAGCTCAAGATATGGTCATGTGGTGCAAGGGCTGGACTGTGATTGGCTGGAGGTAGACAGACAAGATGGACGGATGTGGTTGATTGATGACGCAACCTCAGCTGGTGTGAGCAGTGTCTCTATTCCATCGGCTGTGTCAAGAAGGCCTGGGAACTAGGAGTCTGCTTTTCCGCCTGGCGTCTTAAATGTTTCTGTGAAGAGAAAAACGACATATTTTTAGCCCTTTACCAATAGGTCTTGTTTATTTTGTTTGTTGTTTAATGCCGCACTCAGTATTATTGCGGCTATATGACGGCTTTCTGTAAATAATTGAGTATGGACCAGGCAAATCCAGTGATTGACTTCATGAACATCGATCCATGCAATTGGGATCGATGACATGCATCAACCAAGTCAGCAAACCTACCCGATCCCGCTAGTCGCCTCTTACGACACGCGTAGTCGCCTTTTACGGCATTATGGGTTACTAAAGACCTATTCTACCCCGGATCTTCACATATCTAATACATCTAGTGAGTACTGTGCAGTGACGTGCATGCATGTGTGTGTGTGTGTGTGTGTGTGTGTGTGTGAGAGTACTAGTCCAGACTGATGCCGATTTATAGTGCTAGCACACTGAGATACCATGCCACAGTTTAACATGAATATCCCACTCAGACACAGTATACTGACTCCGAGCCGACCAGTCCTTGTTTTAGCCCCTTAATGCTGAGTGCCAGACAGGGTAACAACAAGTACCATCTTTTAACGTCATTTGGTATGACGCGGCCAGGGATCGAACCCCAGACCTTCCGCTCCCTGGGCAGATGCTCTACCACTAGACCATGGCGGCGGTCCAGTGAGTGGACAGTATCTCAGTCATATCACTGGGTGTCAACTTAATGTTGGAGGAAAGTTCGAAGGGTTGAAGATTTTAGACTTTTACCACTTTGGAGCAACATATTGGTATGGTGCCGACAAACCTGGAAACAATCAGTGCGATTCTAGGATTCAAACCCATGATCACAGGGTCCTGGTACCCATAAGTGATGCAATTCTGCAGAGCACATTGTGCCAATTTAGACAACTGTGCCTTTTATCATATTTAAGAGAAACTAGTCAATGTTTGTTTGTTGTTTATCACTCTTATCCAGCCTAATGATGGAGGCCTATGAATAGTCATGTTTAGTCCGGTTTAGAAATTTTAAACAATGTCAGATTGTGGGGAGTGTGACGATTTCATCAATAATAAAGATCTTTATTGTGAGTGAGTGAGTGAGTGAGTGGGTGGGTGGGTGGGTGAGTGAGTGAGTGAGTGAGTGAGTGAGTGAGTGAGTGAGTGAGTGAGTGAGTGAGTGAGTGAGTGAGTGGGTGGGTGGGTGGGTTGGTGGGTGAGTGAGTGAGTGAGTGAGTGAGTGAGTGAGTGAGTGAGTGAGGTTTTACGCCACTTTTAGCATTATTCCAGCAATATCACAGTGGGGGTCACCAGAAATGGGTTCACACATTGTACCCATGTAGGGAATCGAACCACAGATGTTTGCACTATGGAATGGGGTTTAACATTGCGTTCAAGATTGTTACACTAATAGAGCGTCATACATGCATATGTGTGTGTGTGAGTGTGTGTGGCTGCTTGTACTTGTCCTGACTGATGCCCATTATATAATGCTAGCCCACTGAGGTTTAACATGAATACCCCACTCCAACACAATATATACTGACTTCGAGCCGACCAGTCCTTGTTTTGGCCTCACAGAGTCAAGCGCCGAAGTTTAACATGAATACCCCACTCCAACACAATATACTGACTCTGAGCCGACCAGTCCTTGTTTTAGCCTCTTAGTGTCAATCACCCATCTTCCCGAGGCAAGAGAGTTAACTGACTTTAAAAGTCCAGTTTCCACCATTGCCGAACTAGGCTGGAGTTCCTGGGCTCGATCGTAGCGCCACCAGTGGCTATTACAAGTTATGTCCCTTCTATGCCTCTCCTATTGACCAATCAGATTTAACCTCTCGTATCACTTGCATTTGTTTCAAACAAAACGGTGGCGCCCAGTCAAGACGATCTGATCGATAATCAAGATAAAACGAGTCTTACATCACGAAGTGCATCAAATCACGTGAGCACCTTGATTAAAAACATGAAAAGATTTAGAAAATATCTGTTGACAACGAGCTAGCGGTGCACATGTTTTGCAAATCCTGCAGTCGACCGAAATCTGCATGACACGCTACGAACCTGATTTTGATTTCGGTGCACGATTTTGCATAGACTTGTTAGTCCAACCAAAATGTAACTCCATAATACCAGCCTAGTTCGGCAAGCGTGGAAACTGGACTTTTACAGTCAGTTAACTCACTTGCCTCGGGAAGATGCAATCACCAGGCAGGGTAACAACAATTACCATTTTTTAGTATGACACAGCTGGGGATTGCACTGTGTGACCTGGCCGACCTGATTATACACAGACCAAGGGTATCCGGGATCTCCGAATGTTGATGTCAATAGTGTTTTAATATCAACTTTGTATTGATACAAATTAATTATTGATACCAAATTGATAATTCACTGCATACCAGTATGGTGAAAAAAGGACCAAAAATAGAAACAATCGATGGAAAATAGCAACATATTTAATGTGGCTCGGGTATCAAAGAATCAAGTACTCATGTAAATAGTTATAAAGAAGAAGATCAAAACCCACTACAGAGTCACCATTTTCACGCATAACGTACAATATCCACCAAGCAACATAATTTTTTTTTTAAATCTGTAGGTCTCCACGTAAAATATTGAATATTTGCATGCCCAAAGAAAGCTAAGGGTGTCAATCCTGATACCTGAAAAGGGAGATAACTCATCTAGATATAATCAATCCCATTTTATGCTTGTCAGTGAGTATTGTTTAGATATAACATAATAGGCAGATTTGATGTTCTACAATGATCTGTTTATCCAATAATGGCAATTTATTAATCATAAATAGCTATGCTTCTCATACCAAAAACAGAAAGAAAGAATATTTTAGAAATTTAGGGAGGAGAAGAAAATGTGCAAGGTAATAAAATAATAAGTAGGAACACTACACACTTTTTTACCCACTGAATCTGAAAATTAAGGGATGCATTGGAACAGTTATTTTTGTATTACTTATTGGCTCATGTTTTGGAAAAATAGCAAAGGTACATGTTGCAGGTTTCCACAATCATAAGCGGACATGTCGTTGCTTACCACCAATTACCATCCGCTGTTTTCCAGCACCAGAACTGTCACTGATTCATTCTTTAGCAGATTATGAAAACTTCGCAGAGGATTGACAAATCAATTTGTACTTCCGTTGCAAAAAGAAATACATTTTAGCATTCAAATATCAGTGAGTGACTGAAAATGGTTTTCAAGACGCTTTTAGCAATATTCCAGCAATATCATCATGGAGGATGGGCTTCACACATTGTTGGGAATCGAACCTGGGTCTTCGGCGTGACGAGTGAACACTTTAGCCACTAGGCTACCCGACCACCCCCAATCAATTCCCATGTTAACATACATCTCCTAATGATTGTATGCTTCAATACTCGTTTTAAACACAACAATAAATTACACAATGTTACACAATGTTTACAATATGAAGATGACAACCCCCCCCCCCCCTTCCAAATTCGAAAAAACAAATCATCAAAATTCTATCTAATCTGTCCATATGCATGAGTAGTTATTCAGCTATCAAAACAATACCATGGAATTTGTAGAAGACAGGGCACGTAAAGGGAGGTAATTTGCCACTGTAAACTCGCGTGCAACGGTGTAGACTGAGGTGTGCACGAACTATTGTATCCAACGTCTTTAAGCCCCGGTTTTGTTTTTGAGACTGCCCCTATACCTTTTTTGTTTTATTTATCATACCGTAGGTATGATTTGAAACCCCCTTAGATTGGACACTTTGGTAATTCACCCAATCTAAACTTAAAAATGGTTTTCTCTATCTCTCTTCAGTGTAAAAACCTGTATTCTTTTCCTAGTACAGGCTTCATGTCATGAACATTGGCTATGGCTATGCAAGTGTAATGTAACATGCGTTATGGGAGCAGTGATGACAAAACAAACGCAGTGTCATTTAGTTATTTTAGAGTGAGTGAGTGAGTTGGGTTTAACGCCGCTTTTAACATTATTCCAGTTATATCACGGTGTGTCAGCTTAATGTGGGAGGAAAGCCCGAGTGATGCAGGTCTCAGACGTTTACCACTTCGGTGAAACCCACGAGCACGGGTATGGTGCTGACAAACCTAGAAACATAATTGGGGCGAACCGGGATTCGAACCCACAATCATAGGTTTCTGGCGTGCCCAAGGGACGCAACTCTGCACAGCGAATCGCGGCGCCTTAGACGACTGGGCCACCCGTGCCCCCTAGTTATTTTAGAATATGCTCATCTAGAATTTTCTTCATATGATTTTTGTGTGATTTTTTATGACGACTACATTATTATCATTATAACGGAGTCACGTGCGCATATTTCTATAGTCCGTTTAAGACTGCCATCATTGGACTTGGAATAAATGTGAGCTTCCTGTTTTTGTTCGAATTTTTCACCTGTAAACTTGTCGATAGGTCTCCTTGTGACTGAAACACTTTAAACCACTAGTAGATCAATCGGTATTTACTCGATATTTCAAAAGCAACAGTTTGTGAAAAATTCTATCCCTTTTTAATGCGCAAAAAGCAGTTTTCTAGCATAACAGACAGTACTTTATCTAATATTTGGCATAAAAAGCAATTTTTATCTGTTCACAAATAGAATAATTAATTTTATTATTAACCAATATATCATCATACTTTTATGTGGTACAAAATTTCTCATCAATGACTGGAATATAAATACAATGGCTTTTGTTCTATTGTTGGTATTCCAGGTAAGTCAGGTCCCCAGCAGCTGGACATGGAGAGACGACTAAATGGATCGGGTGGTCAGGATCGTATCCCGCCTGCTTGGGACATTGCTTATTATATCCATCACGGGTTTGTCTGGCCCAGACTTGATTGTTTTTTGTTTTGTTTGTTGTTTAACGCCACACTCAGGCTGACTCAGCAGTATCCTAGCAATATGACGGTGGTCTGTCAATAATTGAGTCTGGACAAGACAATCCAGTGATTGACATCATGAGCATCGATCTACACAATTGAAATACAATAACATGCATCTGACCCAGAGCAACATGGGTGGCCCAATTTGGTAAAATTAGTAAAATCTCATTTGTATACTTATCTTGCATTACTACATCTAAAGTCCATTAAGGAATAATGCAGGATAAGTGACAAAATTTAATCAAATCTAAATAATGTTTTACATTTGTATACTTATCCTGCATCTAAAGTCCATTAAAGAATAATGCAGGATAAGTTACAAAATTTAATAAAATCTAAATAATGTTTTACATTTGTATACATGTACTTATCCTGTATTACTATGTCTAAAAGGCTTTAAAGAGTAATGCAGGATAAGTGAAAACAAGTGCAAAAGTGAGTGTGGCTCACTAATACCCCCGACCCGCCTCGTGTGTCAGTAGTTACAAATTAAATAGCTAGGATAGGGTTAGAGTTTGAAATTCATAAAAAAATGGAAAAATAATAAAAACAATTTTTTCTTTGTACTGCACCCCTCCATATGACACAGATTATATGTACTAAGTTTGAGATGAATCCTCTGAATAGTTTAAGAGAAATCACGCGGACAAAGTTTTCAAACGGACGTTAGGGTTTGAAAAATTCATAAAAAAATGGAAAATTAATAAAAACATTTTTTTCTTTGTACTGCACCCCTCCATATGACACAGATTATATGTACTAAGTTTGAGATGAATCCCCTGAATAGTTTAAGAGAAATCGCGCGGACAAAGTTTTCAGATGGACGGGCAGACAGACAGACAGACAGACAGACAGACAGACAGACAGACAGACAGACGGACGGACGGACGGACAGGCGGACAGACGGACGGAACCTTGGTATAACTATATACCCCCGACATTTTGTCGGGGGTATAAAAATGAATAAAATCTAAATATGTTTTACATTTGTTAAAAAATAGGAAGTATACCTGCAACTGAAGCTTGTTGGTGAAGAACAGATCCTTCCAGCCATGTTCCTTGGCCAGGCTCTGCAACTCTTCGGTGATGGGAGTCTCACTGTTCTGTCGGTAGATCTTCTCCCACAGTTCATCGCTGTTACACAACTACAACACACAACATTGTTACACAACACAACACCACACACAACATTGCTACACAACACAACGAATGTTGTCACAAAGTCCATGATTAGATGTTTGTCTGTTGTTTAACACCACACAGTACTGTTACAAGTTAAAAGCCCCAAGGCAGCGTCTCGAGAAATAACAAGGTCTTTTGTTTGTTTGTTTGTTTGTTTGTTGTTATTTAACACCACACAGTATTGTTACGAGTTAAAAGCCCCAAGGCAGCGTCTCGAGAAATGACAAGGTCTTTTGTTGGTTTGTTGTTTAACGCCGCACTCAGCAATATTCCAGCTATATGACGGCGGTCTTTTAATAATCGAGTCTGGACCAATCAATGACTGACATCATGAGCATCGATCCACCCAATTGATTGGAGGCAGGATAAATCCCTTATACCCTGCTTTGAAGCAAAGCTCAGCTCTGTCGAACAGCTGTTTTCTATCAGTTTTGAATTTGTTTTCATTATTTTACAATAGCAGATTAAAATGTCTCAGTAAGGCGTGTGGTAAAAAACCTCACATGGCACACATAAAACCCCATGTACCCTGAGTGATCCTGCTACAACTCATAGTTTAGTACTCACCAGGTATTTATCTAGGATTCAAAACTAATTGCCTTGGGAGACAAATTTGGAATTGTTTCCCGTAAATTGGGAAATTTGAGCTAGTCTAGATAAACCCTGCTATTTGTTTCTTTGTTTGTTTAACGCCGCACGCAGCAATAATCCAGCTATATGACGGCCGTCTGTAAATAATCAAGTCTGGACCAGACAATCCAGTGATTGACATCATGAGCATCGATCCACACAATTGGGATACGATGACATGAATCAACCAAGTCAGCGAGTCTGACCACCCGATCCCATTTGGTCGCCTCTTAAGACAAGCATAGTCACCTTTTACGGCAAGTATGGGTTGCTGAAGACCTATTCTACCCCGGATCTTCACGGGTCAATTTGTTTTATGGAGAGGGATTTGTTCAAGTATATATGCCAAAAGGAAGGAGCTATAATTCTAAATGTACTTTTAGTATTGTTGTTATCTACTGCCTTTTTACTGTCCATACCCATGATGTATATATATTAAATCATGTATGTTTTAGGGGTGATCCGGGATCTTGTACAACCCACACCACGCCCATTGAAATAACTCCCCAATGACCCCACAAGTACTCCCTTATCACTGAGACGACTATGAGCACTGCTGCAACACTTACATCTTTGAAAAAATGTGACACTAGACTGAGAGCCTTGATGTCCTCCAGGTCTAGCATCATGATGAGCTTGATGAGGATGTTGCGGGGAAGACGTGGGAGGAAGTCGAGGTGGCCGTTGGCGACGTTCAGCAAGTAGTCCAGGGTCTTGCTGCCACCGACTCTCTGGAGCTCACCTGTATAAAAGGAACAGTGCTGTAGTCAGTATTCGAAATACGCACTTGCCTGTAGGCCTGTGACATGTAGATTTCGTGTTGGTCCGGTGGTTTCAAATTTGTTGAGTCCTTGTGGCCTGCAGTAAATTTGTCTCGATCTATTTGTCACCATAAGCTGCATTTTTTCTTAAATGAGGGTCTGAAGAGTTTAGTCAGGGTCTGCAGCTTCTTAAGTCTGTGGGTCCTGATAGCAGCTTGGCACTGGTTATACCGTATTTGACGTAATAAGCGCCTCGCTCTAATAAGCGCCCACGGCGATATTTGATAAGATATTGGCTAGTGAACAAGCCCAATTTGCATCCCTTCCGATTGATCAATGTACTTATTGATTGATTGACTTATTTTTTAGGTATAATACGCACACGTGTGTTATATGCACCCTTATTTATGGGCAATTTAATTCTGGAAAAATATATCTGTCGTACATAAACATTTCAGGCAGTCAGTATAAACAAGGAAATATATTTTTCAACTATGTTTTTTTTCACCAATATAATATTCTAATAAGAGTCCCCTATTTCTAATTTTGAGAGCAGCCCGGGCGCTTTTACGTCGAATACGGTATATACTCACTGCCAAAGGAAACGCTTACCATAGAAACATATAGAGAACTATTTACATTAAGAAGAAGATGTTTCCAATGTGTCCCACTTCATGACAAAACTAACAATCCCTCAAGCGTTACCACAGAGTGTCTTTATTCAATCAGGATGTGCTGCAATTGGGTTTAACATCGCGTCCAAGATTATTGCACTTATATAGCGATGTGCATAGCGGCGTGCATGCACGCGTGTGTGTGTGGCTGCTTGTACTAGTCCGGACTGATACCGATTTATAGTGCTAGCTCACTGAGATACCATGCCGCAGTTTAACATGAATACCCTACTCAGACACAGTATACTGACTCCGAGCCGACCAGTCCTTGTTTTAGCCCTTTAATGCCGAGCGCCAGACAGGGTAACAACAAGTACCATCCTTTAACAACTTTTGGTATGACGCGGCCGGGGATCGAACCCCGGACCTTCCGCTCTCCGGGCAGACGCTCTACCACTAGACCACGGAGGCGGTCTGTATACATAGTCAAACAGTGAGGTCATACACAGATAAAAAAGCATCATAGAAACACACACCATACTATCATCTGTAAATAACCAAATCTGAACCAAAGTGACATTGCGAGCAATGATACCATTCGTGACCAACTCGTGTTATTCCGGGACAAGCCGAATAGCGACTCGTGCCCCTCTCATGGCCATTTTTGCGACCGGGTTCCGTCTGAGCGCAAATGGGCATACCTAAAACAATTGTCAACTCGTTTCGTAATGGTTCACATATATTTCCCCAGATATTATATATATTTCAGATGCAATTTATAGCACATCTGGACATGCGAAATTATACAGGAAGATTGAACACATTTAAATTTGTCTTGGGTATATCTTTAGAAGCAAGACATATGTGAAATCAAAAAATATTTCTGAGGGATTCTTTGACGAACAACTTGAAATAATACCCGCATTCTGATTGGTTTATCATAGTTTCGCACACAACATTCATCGATAGGGGGACGAGTCTTCTTGCAGGTTCAGAAAGGATGGTTGGTTTGTTGTTTAATGCCGCATCCAGCAATATTCCAGCTATATGACGGCGGTCTGTAAATAATCGAGCCTGAACCAGACAATCCAGTGATTAATATCATGAGCATCGATCCACGCAATTGGGATCGATGACATGCATCAACCAAGTCAGCGAGCCTGACCACCCGATCCCGTTAGTCGCCTTTTACGACAAGCATAGTCACCTTTTACGGCAAGCATTGGTTGCTGAAGACCTATTCTACCCCGGAATCTTCACGGGTCAGGGGCGAGTGATGACGAATGCAATGATACATGTTCATGGTGTACTGTGGCACTCCATCAACCAAGTCATTGAGTCGAACCATACAATCTGTAAGACACCTGTCATACCAGGGTGCCATTGTACAAAGGTTATGTGAGTGAGTGCTTGTAGTAGGGCGGTCAGGCTAATTTTGTACACACATTATTTTATACAGGTTTATGCATCTACTTTTGGTTTATGTGAAAATGAATGAAAAACACTTTTCCTTTTAAATTTATGTCTACAACTTTTTGAGATATGGCTGTTTTAGGAGTGTAAAAAGCGGCCATTTTTTCTTCCAAGATGGCCACCACTAAGTTTGCATATTTTTCAGGATTAAAAAGCCCCGGGAAAACAAACTGAAGAGGTATTTTCCTATTTTTAATACACTATTTACCTGAAAAGAAACAGTCTCAACCAAGCCATTAATAATCAGTTCCTTGATTGTGTCATAACTTTTAGTTTTAGCAATATTCCAGCAATATCACGGCGGGGGACACCAGAAATGGGCTTCACACATTGTACCCATGTCGGGAATCGAACCCGGGTCTTCGGCGGACGAGCAAACACAAAGGTAATGTAACTCCCATACCTTAACATAGACTTGCGACAGTCATGGCGCTAAGGTTGTTTTGTTCAATGGCACCAAGGCTGTCCGGCACCAATTCTAACCTGGGATAGTTTGTAATGCAAAAAGGTATGGCTGTTTGGATCATTGAATTATTCAAAATTGTAGATTGCATGTGGTGTAACTGACAGTTCTAAGGTAAATAAATAATAATAATGACAATAGTCTCAAGGTTTTTGAGCCCGTCCAATGATATGACATCAAAAGATTTCCTGGAAGTGAAGTGTGATAAAGATTTCAGCCTTGGACCACCATGTTCATGACGTGGACCCAGAATTCATGATAGGGAGTGAGTGAGTGAGTGAGTTTTGTTTTACGCCACTTTTAGCTATATTACAGCAATACCAAAGCGGGGGACACCAGAAATGGGTTTCACACATTGTACCCATGTCGGAATTGAACCCCGGTCTTCGGCGTGACGAGTGAATGATTTAACCACTTGGCTACCCGACAGCCCAGAATTCATGATGGAGAGCAACCAATTGATTTTCAGGAGTTAGACAGGGGTGAATGTGGTTGAGAAGAGCATTATTAATTCAATGTTAAAATCTCAATTATTTTTTCCAACATAAACAGGTGGTAATCTTTAACAAATGTCATATTTGTTATATTTGGGATAACACTTTCTTGGTAAAGTACAAATTCTAGTCCATTTTTGGTCCCACCCGGGATTCGAAGCCTCGACGCAAGAGTGAGGCACCTTATCGCCAGCACACAAGGTCAGCGATCTGATCCACTCAACCACGGAGGGTTCCACGAAAATGAAAGCCTGACAACTGGTGGTCTAGATCACGTACTAAGGGGGTAAACTCTGAGAGGGTGGGTTCAAATCCCGGATGGGACTCAATCCCCAAAAGCACTACAATTTGTACTTAAAGAAGAAAGTGTCATCCCAAATATAACATTTGTTACATTTGACTACTTAATAAAAGGCATTGTGTGTTCAGGTGCTAATCTTATAATGAATATACTCAGAGGTAAAACAAAATTGTTACATAGAATTTTGTCATTGGTAATCTTGTGAATAATTAGTTTTTCGATTTGAACAAGAGAAAGAGTGTGTTCACATGGTCAAAGAAACGCAACCAAGCAGTTGTTGTTTGAATTGCAAGATTTCTGCAAGAAGTGCGACATATTCATGGCAGTAAAAGTTTAACGCTGATTCTGTTTGTTGTTTGTGTGTCACAACAACTTTTGCTTTTGAGTATAAATAATAAGGAACAAATGGTATCCTTTTGACATGTGGCTGCAAGAAATGGATATGCTTTTTTCCTATAATGTGAGGCATATGGAAGGTTTTTTTTCAGGAAAACAGGGGATTGATTAAGTTTTTAAGACCCCTCCCTCTTTTTAAAATCTGAGATGGTTGCTCCCTGAAACGTACACAAACTTATACAAATATATCTCCATAAACGAAAACATTAGTGCAGTCAGGTCCCATATATATGCAACAAACTGCTTACTTAATCAATATCACAGAAAACTGTAGACAACAATACAAAAATTGATCAGTGCAACAAACCCTCTCTGTCTATTATTAGCCAATCAGGAAACAGTAGTTCGTTAGTGGGTCATCTTCCCGAGGCAAGAGCGTTAACTGTCTTTAAAAGTCCAATTTCCACCCTTGCCGAACTAGGCTGGAATTACTGGGCTCGATCGTAGCGCCACCAGTGGCTATTACGAGTTATGACCCTTCTATGCTTCACCTATGGACCTCGCAATTAGATGCCACCTCTCGTATCACTTGCATTTGCTCCAAACAAAATGGCGGCGCCCAGTCAAGATGTCTGATTGATAATCAAGATCTATATCGTGATAAAACGGGTCTTACATCGCGAAGTGCACCAAATCACATGAGCACCTTGATCAAAAGCATGAAAAGATTGTTGGCGGTGCACATGCTTTACAAATCCTGCAATCCACCGAAATCTGCATCACAGTTTACGAACCGGATTTTGATTCCGTAGCACGATTTTGATTGGACTGCAAAAACTTGTTAGTCCAGCCCAAATGTAACTCCATAATACCAGCCTAGTTCGGCAAGGGTGGTAACTGGACTTTTACAGTCAGTTAACTCTCTTGCCTTGGGAACATGTTAGTAGGCATGGCCTAATAAAAGTTTATGTTATGGAAACAAATGCAACAAAAAATTGCTTCATCAACCAATCAAATGCCATGGAAAAACTTGCACAGCATTTATCATGTTTATCATGTTTATTGTTAATTGAGCTGTGATCACTCACCTGAGCATTGTTTAACGAGACAAGAAATAGTCCCTGACTGCGGATATCATTTGCACACACAAACTGTCATTGAAATCTGATTCTCATGAAAGACCCGTTTATTGCAGCAAGCTTTTGTACAAACCAGTCAGCCACATGTCTTTGGTGTAACCCGATTGCAGTGAGCTGAATTTAAGCAGGGATTTAACTGAGATTGCAATGTGCCCTTGGACATGTTGAAGGGTAATTGGGAATTTTGTTTGAGATTTTGTTCAGAACTGGGTTCTTATTTCCTCAACTTCAGAGGTATTTTAACATTGTATTTTAACAATACAGCCAATTAGTGAGTGAGTGAGCGAGTTGGGTGAAGCGCCCCTTTTAACAGTATTCCAGTTATATCACGGCTTAATGTGGGGGGAAAGCCCGAAGTGACGCAGGTCTCAAACGTTTACCACTTCAGTGAAACCCACGAGCACGGGTATGGTGCTGACAAACCTAGAAACATAATCGGGCCGAACCGGGATTCGAACCCACAATCATAGGTTTCTGGCATGCCCAAGGGACGCAACTCTGCACAGCGAATCGCAGCGCCTTAGACGACTGGGCCACCCATGCTCCCTACAGCCAATCAAATTATGTAAAACTTAGCACTGAAGCCTCTGGTACTGTGTTATACAGACATCCCTAGAAGACCCTTGGCAGCCTGTGACTTTAGCCACTAGTCTGAAGACCAAGTTTTTTTAAAATTCACTTCCGTCAAGTAAGCTTAGCTAATAATAGTCTTAACAGTAACAGACCTGTGAAGAAGGGTAGAATAGGTCTTCAGCAACCCATGCTTGCTGTAAAAGGTGACTATGCTTGTCGTATGAGACGACTAACGGATCGGGTGGTCAGACTCGCTGACTTGGTTGATGCATGTCATCATATCCCAATTGTGTGGATCGATGCACATGATATCAATCACTAGATTGTCTTGTCCAGACTCAATTATTTACAGATCGCCGTCATACAGCTGGAATATTGCTAAGTGCAGGGTTAAATGACAAACAAACTTAGCAGTAGCACTAAATTCAACTGAAAATAATGCTTAGAGACAATTTCGGGCAAGAAGACTTAAATGTTTTCTGCACCCACTGACATAGCATTAGTTACTTTTACATGACATAACATTATTGTATTTCCAATTTTGGGATTTTTATTGACATTTCCTTCAGACATGGAGCTGAATATTGACCTCTGAATATGTCGAGATAAATCCAATGAATTGTTATATGTTACAGATATTTGCTGCAGACAATGGTTGAATGTCAGCCTCCAGGCAGGTCAGGATAAATCCCCGTAATGATACACTGACACACAGTGACTTCACAGTGGTAGAAACGAACAGTTTTCGTACACTAGTCCTTATAATGATAACATATAGCAAACTAGGGCTGAGACGAGTCCAAATTTACTACCCGGGTACCCACCCCCCTATTACCCGACCCTACCCGAGTACCCACTGTAGGTCTAAGGAGATGTCTCAAAATGGGAACATTTTCAGCAAAACGTATTTAGATACATGCATTAAACAATTTGGTCATTCATACACTGTTAATACAAAGTTGAATTAAGTTATATCTTTATTCAACCATATGAAAAATCAGAAGCAATGGGTGCATAGTCAGAAAGAAATGCGAACATAGTCATTAGTGACTTCAGTGTAACCATAGAGTTCTAGACAATTTTTGTCATTAAACAATATACCAGGTGACTAACCACGGGCCCGGGTAGTCCTGTGGGTACCCGGGTGCTACTCAGTACCCACCCGACCCGGGTACCCGGGTTATCTGTCCCAGCCCAATAGCAAACCCCTTAAAAATGGCACATTTCTACTATAACTATTGGGCAGTTTGTCAATGGCTACAGGACTAGTGCCAATTTCTAACGCTGCTTGAATTGCCAAACTGTCAGCTATACTGAGTGATACAGTCTGACTTGTGACACTTTACCTAAGACAGGGATAGTAACATAGGACTCTCAAATATGTTCAAGAATGCCCCTTGAATTTGTATCTTAACTATGCCAACATGAACAAGACATCTGTCCTCTTATAAACCTATTCATTGGGATCGTTATTAAGTAAGAGACTTCTTTCTATAGGCATTAAAACCCATAGTGAGGTTTTACTTTCCAGTTGGGTTAAATCTCATAAGCAGGGACGTTGTAATGTCCCTGGGATTTTATAGGATATTCAAGTCATATTTGCTATAATATCCCAGGGATTTTATATAATGTCCTGAGTATTTTATTAATGTAACTTCCGTTCAGATTGTAACATGTAATGAAATGTAAAATCAAATGACAAATGTTTTCTTCATATTCCCGAGGATCGAACTCGCAACCTTCATATCTGTAGCCCAGTGAGTGTACCACAAGGCTACAGAGGTGTTGATAAGCCTCACTGGTTTTTAGAATGTCCTTTTCAAGATCAGGACGCCAGCAACAGAAATTTTATGTGAGTTTCCTAAGGTTCATGGAAAGTATGTTCGAAACATAAATGTTGATAAATGTTGTTTAAAGTTTCTTTTTTCGGTTTATAAGTATGGAAAAACACTTTCCCTCGGTTTTTCCCTCTCCCCAGGGCATGCTCTGTCTACCAAAACCTCGTAAGCGTGTTTTCTCCACTACATACAAACCCAGGGAATGTAATTTCAAACTTGAGCTTGCTAATGCGGGGTTGCAATCTAGAGAGTCTGCCCCTTCCTTGAGACTGACATTGATAAAACCCTTTTCAATTTCTGAATCCTCAGTTATTTAACGAATCATACAGTGCGTGTAATAAGTTGTTTGGTTGGTTGGTTTGTTGTTTAATGCCCCACTCAGCAATATTCCAGCTATATGACGTCAGTCTGTAAATAATCCAGTGATTAATATCATGAGCATCGATCCACACAATTGGGATCGATGACATGCATCAACCAAGTCAGCGAGCCTGACCACCCGATCCCGTTAGTCGCGTCTTACGACAAGCAGAGTCACCTTTTACGGCAAGCATGGGTTGCTGAAGACCTATTCTACCCCGGAATCTTCACGGGTCGCATGTAATAAGTAATAAAAAAAGATTGCACAGATTACATTTGCCGGAGAACATGTATCACTGGTTCTTTTAACAAACATGGTATTTAAAAAGATATAAAATAAATGACTAAGAGTATCCTTCAACTGTCAAGAACTAATTTTAACCATGCCATTGTCACTAGAACTAATACAAGTAGAGGATTTTGAACCAGGAAGGTCATGCATGCCAATCAGCACAAGTCAGTGCCCATTTAGATTAAACCATCTGTCACACTCCGGGTACCTTGTATATATATGAAAGAGCTGCTTATCTTAATCATGACTAATCCCATCTAATCCAGTGTTAGCGGGGATCAACAATATACTGATAATCTCTGGGTAATGACCTGATCCGACACAGACCTCTATTTTATAATGTTGACATTTCTACAAGACCAGAGATATATGTTGCATTTTATCTGGTATTACCGTATTCGACGTAATAAGCGCCTAGGGCGCTCTCAAAATTAGAAATAGGGGGCTCTTATTAGAATATAATTTCAGTGATTAAAAAACAGAATTGAAAGATCGTAAATTTTGTGGTTTATGCTGACAGCCCGAAATCATACAAAAGAAAAGTATGTGCGTATTAGACACGACAGATATATTTTCCAAAATTTAATTGCCCATAATTAAGGGTGCATATATCACACGAGTGCGTATTATACACAAATAAATAAGTCCTGTGTACATTGATCAATCGGAAGGGGTGCTAATTGGGATTGTTCACTAGCCAATATATAAGGCAATATCGCCGTTGGCGCTTATTAGAGTGAGGCCCTTATTACGTTGAATACGGTACTTGTTTTACAGACGCCAACACTAAAAATGAGAAATTTGGAAAAAAATAAAATTCCAGTTTAAAAAATTGAACACTGAAGGGGTTGATTAAGTAAGTTCTGAAAACATACATATTTCTTTTGGCAAGAACAGCATCTGCCTGGAGTTATCACATTACTGAGAGTACATTCAACCCACACCAATGTCATAAACCAATCAGTTCTTACCGTATTTGACGTAATAAGCGCCCAGGGCGCTCTCAAAATTAGAAATAGGGGGCTCTTATTAGAATATTATTTTGGTGAAAAAAGACAGAGTTGAAAGATAAATTTCGTGGTTTTGCTGACAGCCTGAAATGTTTATGTAGGACAGATATATTTTTTCCAGAATTTAATTGCCCATAATTAAGGGTGCATATAACACACGAGTGCGTATTGTACCAAATTAATAAGTCTTGTGAACATTGATCAATCGGAAGGGGTGCTAATTGGGATTGTTCACTAGCCAATATATCAGCAAATATCACCGTGGGCGCTTATTAGAGCGGGGCACTTATTAAGTTTAACTATACAGTGTTTGGAACTTTGTGATGGTTTTTAGAAACGCAAAAATGAAACCGGGAGACATAATTCAAGTTTGGCATTTGTGAGTGAGTGAGTGAGTATGGTTTTACGCCGCTTTTAGCAATATTCCAGCAATATCACGGCGGGGGACACCAGAAATGGGCTTCACACATTGTACCCATGTCGGGAATCGAACCCGGGTCTTCGGCGTGACGAGCGAACGCTTTAACCACTAGGCTACCCGACCGCCCCTTTGGCATTTGTGAATGCTGATAGTATGACTGTGTTGAGGATGTGTTCACTCACTGTGTAGTCTGTCATCAAGGACGAAGTCCTCCCATGAATTCCTCACTTCCGATGGTGGGTTGTTCTGGTAGTCGGATCGGGTTGGGGGAACAATCTTCCATAGCCGGTAGATGAACTGTTGGAACAAACCGACATGTCACATTTCACAGTCTAACAAGGTGTCTTTTCTTTTCACAATTACGTCATACACAGAATCCAGAATGCTACCCCCCCTGCCCCTATACTCCTCAAACACAGACACCTTTTGAAGCATACATCACACACACACACACACACACACACACACACACACACACACACATATATATACCGTATTTGACGTAATAAGCGCCCACGGCGAGATTTGCTGATATATTGGCTAGTGAACAATCCCAATTAGCAGCCCTTCCAACACCTATTCGCATATAATACGCACCGCTTCCTTCCCCTATTCGCGTATAATACGCACCCGTGTGTTATTATTTACTATTGGCAATTAAATTCTGGAAAAATATATCTGTCGTACATAAACATTTCAGGCTGTCAGCATAAACCACGAAATTTATCTTTCAACTCTGTTTTTTTCACCAAAATAATATTCTAATAAGAGCCCCCTAGTTCTAATTTTGAGAGCACCCTTGGCGCTAATTACGTCGTATACAGTAGTACTATTGTCCTTGCCAAATTGATCAAGAGTTAAGGTATCATAAGGACGAGTAGAAATTTGCTATTTTAATGGGTTTGCTTTATATTATCTTAATAAGGACTAGTGGATTACAAATGTTTAATTTCAATATATTAGCAAATATTGCCGTGGGCGCTTATTAGAGCAGAGCGCTTATTACGTCAAATACCGTAGTGCAAAGTTTTAATGCTGCGTAAACACTGACAGACTACTTCAACATTCTTGGGGAAACCCCTGGGAATTCCCCATCACGAAATAAACGCAGAAGCGTTGTTTCTCATCATTTTGACCCTGTAGTCTTGAACATAAGGTAAAGTCTGAGTTTCGCTGCATACCTGAAATGAGTATTGATTTAGGGTCTGACTGAAATACCACAAGTGAAAACGGACCTTTCACAGAAACAGACCCATATAATAAACATAATTGAAGCTGTATAACAAAGTGTTACTGTTTCAAACTGTCTTGAGTGTATAGCATATATACCTAAGTATTCATTAATAGCGAATATAAAGCATGTGTTGAAACCTTTTTAAGAATCCTCTCAATAAAACAGATAGGCCTAAGATAAACATATCCATTGATTAGAAAACTGTGTCCGTTAATCGAGTGAGTGAGTATGGTTTTACGCCGCTTTTAGCAATATTCCAGCAATATCATGGCGGGGGACACCAGAAATGGGCTTCACACATTGTACCCATGTCGGGAATCGAACCCGGGTCTTCGGTGTGACGAGTGAACGCTTTTACCACAAGGCTACCCGACTGCCTTAGATATTTAGTCATGGGAGGTTTGATAAGACATATTTAAATATATTCCTGCAATAAATGAAAAGTAAACAAAAACTTTCTCTGTCAGTAATACAAGATAGTTTGTTTAGTGGCTCGGTAAGGCGCGGGAGCGTAAAAATATTATATGATCACCGAATCAGAGTTACTGTGTACACTGTGCGATCAATCACTTCATAAGCAACGGGAATGTAAATAATGCACTTAAACATTGCCCTAATCAGCTATGCCGATCCATTATTGATTCTATGACAGAGTGAATATAACTTGCAAGGGTGTGAACTGTTAAGTGTTGCTGTTGACGAGCTGTTGACTGACTCGTCAAAACAAGGAAGTGGAATCTCGACAAAGAATGCGCTTTACCCTATACTCAAGCTACAAACCTACCTCGTCTGGTGAAACGAATATATGGAAGAAATCCTTCGATGGAGACGGAGCTTGTTGACCATAATCGACAAGAGCATCGTGCTCGTTCAACCACTGTGTCCACTTCGTCGCCATTTTGACGCTATCACCATCCCAACCGACGGCTGCCTTAAATAGCTGCTCGGATAACGACACGGAACGAAACGAGCACCTGTCGGGTTTATACAAAAGTAGGATTTGTCACGAACACCAAATACTGGCTGGTTCGCAGGGTCGCATTAAAGCTAATCGCGGGATCACAGTGGACGCATGATATGTAACGTTCAGTGTTAGTCAGCACCAATACTCAATAAATCAACCAAGCTACAAATGAATGCAGGCATAAGACGACGGTAATAACTTAATTACACACACAATTAAGTGTGTGAGTGTGTGTGTGCGTGTGTGTGCGTGTGTTTCATTTATAGCCAGTGTGGTTTATATACGTTTGGACAGTGTGATTTATATATTTAAAAGTAAAAACAACAACAACGAAATCGTTACGACACGTTCCTAAAATAACAGTTTGGGAGTTGTGAAGCATTTTTGAGAGTGAGTATGGTTTTGCGCCGCTTCTAGCAATAGTCCAGCAATATCACGGCGCGGGACACCACAAAATGGTTTCATACATTGTACCCATGTGCGGAATCGAACCTGGATCTTCGGCCTAACGAGCGAACCCTTTAACCTCTAGGCTATCCCACCGCCCCCGAAGTTATTTAAAGAGACTCGATACAGTCCTGCTGCTGAAGGAGGGCACGGGTGGCCCAGTCGTCTAAGGCGCCGCGATTCGCTTTGCAGAGTTGCGTCCCTTGGGTACGCCAGAAACCTATGATTGTGGGTTCGAATCCCGGTTCGCCTCGATTATGTTTCTAGGTTTGTCAGCACCATACCCGTGCTCGTGGGTTTCACCGAAGTGGTAAACGTCTGAGGCCTGCATCACTTCGGGCTTTCCTCCCACATTAAGCTGACACGCCGTGATATAACTGGAATACTGTTAAAAGCGGCGTGAAACCCAACTCACTCACTCACCCTGCTGCTAAAGAGCAATAGTCTCCACTTGTGTTAGTCTCTCCAAGTCTTTTATTATTATTTTTTGAGAATTTAGTTGTATTCCTCGTGTGACGTCATAATTATAGTCAGATTGGTGAAGGCTTAAATTTGCATTGACCCCACTGACAATAAACAAGCATTGATGCCATTTGTTGCGGCTGTGATTCTATTTATAGGGGGGGAAAACCCGCCCATCCATAATTAGACCTGACGTATGCTCAGGCCATGCGCCGAAAACATATGAAATAGGGGAGAATTAGATGATGTGGTGGATGAGCTCTCCTTAGTGGTATGTATGATTTAATTTTGGGTGAATATGATTCATGTGCATATATGACACGTGCTTCCACATTATTTGATTAATTGACGTAGTTGACACATTTCGTTCGTGGTTGTGGAGGGGGTCACACGAAGTTTTTGACTCAGGTAAACATATTTAACTGATCCGTTTTTACCATCCGCCATCTACTGGTCTAATACACAGCCACGATTTACTCACTCCTTTCTGATAAAGTCGGAGCGGTGGGGTAGGCTAATGGGTAAAGCGTTCGCTCGTCATGCCGAAAAACCGGTTCGATTCCAATAACGAGTACAATGTAATATCCGCCGTGATATTTCTGGAATATTGCAAAAACCACATCTCTCACTCTAACTCTGATGCTGATTCTGCATCGGCCTTGACAGACTCCGCGAGAGAGCGTATTTAAGACTTCGACCACTGCCATTATTGAAACAAAGCGGCATAGTGGGGTGAACTCGACCCCTTCTTGTTTTTAAATAACCTTCAGTTGAGGGGCGGTCACGCCGAACACCCGGGTTCTATTATCGACGTGGGTACAATGTGTGAAGCCCATTTCTGGTGTCCCCCGCAGTGATATTGCTGGAATATTGCTAAAATCGGCGTAAAACCAAACCAACAGTGTCTGCATCGCGAAACCGTAGCCAATCAAGGGAAATGTTCTACATTGCGACAGCTGCCCTGAATGAAACAGACATCCTCTGCATTATTCAATCGAGGGTTGTGACACATGCTGTGGCAGGCACCCCCTCCACCCTCCACATACACACACGCACACAAACTACTTTTCGCGAGACCACCTCCGTGGTCTAATGGTAGAGCGTCCGCGCGGAAGGTCCGGGGGTTCGATCCACGCCGCGTCATACCAAAAGACGTTAAAAGATGGTACTTGTTGTTTCCCTGTCTGGCGCTCGGCATTAAGGGGCTAAAACAAGGACTGGTCGGCTCGGAGTCAGTATACTGTGTCTGAGTGGGGTATTCATGTTTAAACTGCGGCATGGTATCTCAGTGAGCTAACACTATAAATCGGCATCAGTCCGGACTAGTACAAGCAACCACACACACACACACACACACACACACACGTGCATGCACGTCGCTATATAAGTGCAATAACCTTGGACGCAACGTTAAACCCAATTTCACCTCACCTCACCCCTTTTCGCGAAGTCAGTTACGGTGTGCTCGGTGTAGTCGGGGAAAACCTAATTTTCTAAATTTAGACCTGACGTCTGACAGCTTTGTTTATTAGAGTTTAGGTGATAGGGTGCCTCATAACTACTGTAATAGTAAGTATTGTTAATAATTATAATTTGATTATTTATGATGTGCATATAAATATTGACAAGATCTTCCGCAATAATTAATCGCATGAACAATCTCATTAAAATCAGATCATAGTTATCGCTACCCCTAAACAAAGATCTTAGGACATCCCATTACGGGTCACGTCAGACCGGACTTTAGAGTAACTAACAAGAAGTCGGCAATAGCCAATCAGAAGGCAGTTTAATCGAGCTTTACTGCACGAGTTTTAATCTGGCGACTACGCTTGGAAACATATTTTGACATATACTCGATTAAAAAATTAACAAAAGAACATTCTGGAATGGCTAATCGATGGTCTTTTTTGTGTGAATACAGACATAGAGCCCATAACTGTCGTTCGGAATAACCTGTGTGTTTTCTTCGAGGTTGCACGATAAAAAATCACATACCAACCGTCACTTTCATGATCGGCTTAGCGATGCTCTGATTGGTCAGATGAAAGGTCGTTCTGACATGACCGTAATGAGATGTCCTCAGATCTTTGTTTAGAGGTAGCGAAAACTAAGATCTGATTTTAATGAGATTGTCGCATGAATGATTTCGTTGCTGGTGATATGTACAGGGGTTACGGTGAAAGACCGATTTCGATGGGGACAACCGAATCTTTCGACACTGTAACCTGTGACATAGTGTGTTATAGGTGCAGGATGGGATGTTGTTGAAATACACTTTACCTGTGTGTTAAATTAAGCGACTAACGTTATACGGTTAAAGCAGTGTGAATGCATATTCGTTGCCCAATTAAAACGATCATTAAATGACACAACTTAATAATCCGTATATTATGTCAAATTTGATATGCAGGAAACATGTATATATGTTCACTGACAGTCATTTATTCATGCATTGTTTTGTATAACAGTTAATTTAACTTCGTTTCTACAGCCTGAAGTTTCGTTATACCCATAAATGACATCATAACAAGTCGATTTCCCAAAGTGTCGGGACAGCGACAGTAAACATCGCTTTTGACGATAAAAAAAATCACTGCTGTCCCTGCGTTGCGTTAAATTAAGGTTGATTATTTTAAAACAACTAGGCGATTGTTTGCTGTCTACGCGCAGCGCTGCCAACGCGCTGGTATAGTGTGGGAGGTGAGGTGAGGTGAAATGGGGTTTAACGTCGCGTCCAAGATTATGTACGTGTGTGTGTTTGTGTGGCTGCTTGTACTAGTCCGGACTGATGCCGATTTATAGTGCTAGCTCACTGAGATACCATGCCGCAGTTTAACATGAATACCCCACTCAGACACAGTATACTGACTCCGAACCGACCAGTCCTTGTTTTAGCCCCTTAATGCCGAGCGCCAGACTGGGTAACAACATGTACCATCTTTTAACGTCTTTTGGTGTGACGTACGCGGTCGGGGATCGAACCCCGGGCCTTCCGCTCTCCGGGCGGACGCTCTACCACTAGACCACGGAGGCGGTCGTGTAGTGTGGGAAGAGTCTCCAGTACAAATACATCAGATCTAGAGCTTCAAGTGTTTACCCAACACATCTCGAGTGAGTGAGTGAATATTTATAGTCACCTCGGCAATATTTCAGCCATATCGTGACTAAATCAAGTTTGACAGTAATAATACATACAATGTTATTATAAAACCTGTCGTCAAAGGACAGTAAAATAACTAGATTATTACAGATGTATATTTTAAAACTAGTATTGAACCATAAAAAAGATTTCACCATAAATAACAATACAGTATAAAAACGGGGCTAGGGATCGCCAGCAATTAAAGGTAGGCCACCTTACTGGGGACCGTGGGGACTTGCACTACTTCTGCTACCTGCACGGCTCCCCAGGAGGATCAACGCGTCTGGAACTGCACGCGCATCCTACTGTTTCATTTTGACACTTAAGTAGTTGGTTGTTGGCTCGTCGGCAACGTTCAATTCTTTATGGGCAAAGTGACTGAGTGAGTTGATATTTAACGTCGTATTATCAATTTTTTCAGCCATGTAGCTACATATGTCAAAGAAAGACCCCAAAAGCACATCAATTCGTGGAAATTATACACTCTGGCGTTCCGCGCCCTCGTGTCTTCCCTTTTGACGAGTACTTTCTACATGATGGACAGGGCTTTGTTTTTTATCCACGATCGCATTTCGCCAGCTGACTGAGCATAGACACACGTCACCACTCAAGATCCGGGTAGAGTATAGGTTTCCAGCACCCCATGCTTGTCGGACAGAGGCGACTAACGGGATCGGGTGGTCAGGCTCGCTGACTTGGTTGATACATGTCATTGCATCCCAACTGCGTAGCTCGATGCTTATGATCTCAATCATTGTATTGTCTGGTCCAGATTCGATTATGATTTTCTACAGAACGCCGTCATATAGCTGAATATTGCTGAGTGCGGCGTTAAACAACAAACCAACAATACAGGTGATGGACATTCACTTGTACTCTCGTGTCTTGAAACCATCAGCGATATTTTAATTAGTAGCAGTTGTTTGACGCTTTCACAAACAGTTATTTCGCCTCGACATTTTAAAACTACCAAAGGTAAGTCTTTTAAACAATGTGATGTTGTTAACATTGCAGGCCTTGAAATGAACTGGGTCCGTCTTTCCGTTTATGCTGCGATCTTGGTGAACTTTGGGCTGTTATTGACTTTTGTGACACTTACAGCATGGGGAGTGCAGCCCGACCAGGCACCCAGGATCAGCTCAGAGGTAAGTAAAACCATGCACTGTATACAAGGATATGTCGACACAGTGATTCACACGGCCAAGGCCAACATCTCTTTACCTTCTACTCTCGGTCTTGGACCCGTGAAGAATAGGTCTTCAGCAACCCATGCTTGCCGTAAATGGCGACTATGCTTGTCGTAAAAGGCGACTAACGGGATCGGGTGGTCAGGCTCGCTGACTTGGTTGATGCATGTCATCATATCCCAGTTGTGTGGATCGATGATCGTGATGTCAATCACTGGATTATCTGGTCCAGACTCGATTATTGCCGAGTGCGGCGTTAAACAATAAGCAAATAAAACAAACCAAAAGTTTTGCCCTTGATACATACATACATACATACATACATACATGTACACACGTACTAAATACACACAGACAATAGATATATTTATTCTTTTTTGTGAAATACCATATATATCACATTTGGTCTGAAATTGGTTATGTGACAAGTGAACTAATTCTTTTCATCCTCTGTTTTCATTACTGATCGTTATTATGTGTTATTGACTGAAAGTATATCAGATTTTTAACCACAGTGAAAAGTCCAGTTAGAGTTTTCGGATAAATATAGTAGTATAACTCAATATATGCATAATGATACTGATGCGACGTTAAATTTTAACACACTCGCTCACTCATATCATACCCCATATCAACTCGAGGCGCCTATATTAGCCAGAAAGCTTGAGGGTTGATGTGGGGGTCGAGGGTTGATATGAGGTAGCAATGCTTATGGCAAGAGGAGGTAACTCTTCCTGCACTTATTCTCAAAGCTAGTTTACCGCACCTCGGAGGGTCGGTTCAAAATCCCATCTCCCAACTCCTTGATTAAAGCAGAAAGCGGGAAAATCAGCGTACATCACAAACTAGGGTAAAGGTTGCGTGCGTATTTGCTATTTTTAGAATTTTCTTCGAAATTGAGTTTCAATGATGAAGTCAACAGTTATTCTTAAAACTATCAACACAGCCGAATACGTGATTGTAAATAGGTTTATTCTATTCTGCAATCAGTTGTTATAATTTCCAGTGTGTTTTAGATTTAACTTATAAGGGACAACATATAAAAAAAATAATTAAATCGGCCCCCACGCTATTTCTATTAGCGGTATTCAGTTTTTACATAACTACGCAGTTACTTCCCTTCGAACATGCTTCGCCAAGCTCCTTCACAGCGCGTGACACCTTCGTTACACTCTCGGTAACATATAATAGTATAGAGAGCTCCGCGAACGGGCTATCGCTGTGAGGAGCTTGATGCTTCGCAAACACGATCGAATTTACTACAGGCTCAGATTATGAGGTATGATATGATAATAACCTTTTCATCATATACCATAACATCAAATTGGAAAGCTGTACTCGAAATCCCCTCCACCCCTCCCCCTCTTTCTTAACACCCGGGCTGATATCGATCGCCTATTCAAAATGCATTGGCAAGCCACATCAGCCCGGCCGGGGGTTTAATACGGGTCTGGGTATTACACCCCATGTGATATTACCGTCTCCATGTTTGCTCTATCGCACATGCAAAATACCTCATATCATTGATGGGTTCCCATCTATACATATACAGGCGAATCTACGGAAGCTCCTTTCTGCCATGGACCGCCTCCGTGGTCTAGTGGTAGAGCCTCCGCCCGGAGAGAGGAAGGTCCGGGGTTTGATCCCCGACCGCGTCATACCAAAAGATGGTACTTGTTGTTACCCTGTCTGGCGCTTGGCATTAAGGGGCTAAAGCAAGGACTGGTCGGCTCGGAGTCAGTACACTGTGTCTGAGTGGGGTATTCATTTTAAACTGCGGCATGATATCTCAGTGAGCTGGCACAATAAATTGGCATCAGTCCAGACAAGTACAAGCAGCTACACATACACGTACATGCACGTCCCTATATTTAAGTCCCTATATTTTCACCTCACCTCACCTTTCTGCCATTGGTTTGGACAAAGAATGGGAAAACGGGAGGGCTTCCAAACACCTATTTATTCACTCTGATGACGGAGTTCTGAAAACAATTGACAAAAATAATAAATCTTTGTTTTAACACCAAATATTCATACAATCACTAAATATATAAAATACACCTCTTAGTGAAAGTCTCTTGGCATTGAATTAATTACTCTCAATTGTACAATGACTCGGTGTTACTAATTTTCTCTGGAATGCCTTATATTATTTATTAAATAATTATCAAATAAATATATAAAATAGTGTAACAAAATATCAGAAAACCCATAATATATAATCTCTTTTGCACTCTTACTCAAAAATAAAGTGCACGCAAAAATCTCTGGAAGCTTTCATACACTGACGAAAATAATTGCAAAGTACTCGGAAATATCATTAGATATTCTATAAGATACCAAAATAGCAAAAGAATTAACGCTTTTGAATATATAACAACATTTACCTGACTCCAAAATGTAAACAAACACTGACACTAGTGTGACACTGCCAGCCGGCCTAATGCCGAGATTTGGACTAGTCTATTTTACTCGAGGGGAAATAGGTTGTGCTCTCAAGTAAATATACTCAAAAAGGAAAGCCTAAAAAACGCCTAAATAAAGCGAAAACGCTAAACATTAAAAATATTGGAAAGAAATTGAAAATAAAGTGACTTTGGCTCTAATAAATGTACATTTAAGAAAACGCTAGAATATAATGGACTGTTCCAAGAGTCAACAGTTGTCAAAATCCTACACTGTTCCTTAAAATATGCATACATATTAAACTACATGAAATAATACACGAAAAGCTACTCTAAGCATTAATAAACAATATAAAGTACAACTAATTACCTGAGGAGTAAACCTCCCATATTTTTGACATTCTCTCTCTCTCGCTCGCTTGACTCTTTCTGTTGGAAAGCATGTGATCAAGTGCTCGTGCCGCACGGGCGGAAATACAAGGAGTTAAAAAATACTATCTACCCGAAACAATCGATATAGTTAGAATTTATTGATGATTCTCTGTCGACAAAAGAAAAAATATAATGACTTACAAAAAGTACAAAAAGACGACTTAAGCTTTTAAAATAGAAAATGTATTACAAAATTATAAATTGAATATTTTCTTCACAAAATTAATTCAATTCAGCCATGGTGAAATTATATTTAGTACATCCCCTCGCAATACTTCTATTCTTTTTTTGTGTGTTATGTACTTGTCTGAAATGTCAGAATATATACATATCAATGCATATCTTTCTTACAGGAGACGGTGGTCGAAACGCTGAGGCAGCAAGGTAAAATTATGCTTAAATTAAATACAATAGTTAATGCAAATACCTCACTCAACCGTGGTTTTCATATGTACATGTTTTGACCCCTAGTACGTTTCATTTGACACAAGACACAAGATTGGAAGGTCCGGGGTTCGATCCCCGGCCGCGTCATACCAAAATACGTTAAAAGATGGTACTTGTTGTTACCCTGTCTGGCGCTCGGCATTAAGGGGCTAAAACAAGGACTGGTCGGCTCGGAGTAAGTATACTGTGTCTGAGTCGGGTATTCATGTTAAACTGCGGCATGGTATCTCAGTGAGCTAGCACTATAAATCGGCATCAGTTCGGACTAGTACATGCACACACAGACACCCCCAACCCCCACTCCAACCCGTCGCTGTATAATTGCAATAATCTTGGACGCGGCGTTAAAAGCAATTTCACCTCACCTTCATTTGCCCATTCGTCTGAAGCGCCGCAATTCACTGTGCAGAGTTGCCTCCCTTCACATGCCACAAACCTGCATCGTGGCTTCGAGTCCAGGTTCGCCCCGATTATGTTTCTAGTTTGTCAGTACCATGCTCGTGCTCGACACACCGTGATATAACCGGAACAATGTTGAAAGCTTTGTTAAACCTGTCTCACTCACTCACTCACTGGTATATTTACAGTTAATCTGTCCAGATCTGAGGACACAAGTGTTTCATACCAGAGAGATGTTGAAAAGTGCAATGGTAGTCGACCAGCCTTACATCAAGGCTTCACAATACAGGACACGTCTCAAGGTAGGTTTTTACGTGTTCAAGTCAATTAAACATTTTATATCTGTGAGTGTAGTAGTTGTCTGTTTGTTGTTTAACTCCGCACTCAGCAATATTCCAGCTATATGACGGCGGTCTGTCAGTAATCGAGTCTGGACCAGACAATCCAGTGATTGGGACGGTCGGGTAGCCTGGTGGCTAAAGCGTTCGCTCCTCACGCCGAAGACCCGGGTTCGATTCCCGACATCGGTACAATGTGTGAAGCCCATTTCTGGTATCCCCCGCCGTGATATTGCTGGAATATTGCTAAAAGCGGCGTAAAACCACACTCACTCAATCCAGTGATTGACATCATGAACATCAATCCACGCAATTGGGATCGATGACATGCATCAACCGAGTCTGACCACCCGATCCCGTTAGTCGCCTTTTACCGCAAGCATGGGTTGCTGAAGACCTATTCTATCCCGGATCTTCACGGGCCTTAAGTGTGGTAGCACAGATCACACAACATTAAGACAATAATAAAAGGAAATATTTCTGTACACTATATTCGTTGTATTTTGTCTTAAAGGCAGCAGCATTGTCAAGTTGGACGTCGGTGCTGCCACAGAAGCGATGACTGCTGCCTTGCTCCAAGGTTTCCAATTAGATGATGGCGCCATCAGTGTGCTTGTATCCGGCAACTACGTCATCCTCATGGACGTGACCTACTTCTTCCGTGGCCACGTCGATGGGTCACAAGTCAAGGTGTACGTGACATGCGTCCAGTCCGACCCTGCGAAAGATCTTGTACAGATCTCACAATTGTGCAGGAAAGGGAGATATTGTTCCCTTACATTTCAGGGCATTTCGTATTTGTCTCAGACTGCAAAACTCCACTGTGAAGCCAACCATGCCAGTGATATAGTCACCGCCATTGTGAATACTCACATCAGCCTTGCATTCTATTGAACAGGCGTTGTTTTTTGGGCATTTCCTTATACATGTATTTGTCCATATTTACCTGAGCCAGTTTAGGTCACAATTGCATTACTGATATGATTTCTAAGTCATATTCAGGGTTAAACGTTGACATTGGTTTAAATTGGTACTCAAGGTTGTTTTTTTAAATACAATAAGATAAATATCTACACTATTTGATTTAGAAAAGATCAATCGTGAATCTACTTTTAGTCATTGACATATAGTTCCAGCTTTCAAAGGGGCGGTCGGGTAGCCCAGTGGTTAAAGCGTTCGCTCGTCACGCCGAAGACTCGGGTTCGATTCCCGACATGGGTACAATGTGTGAAGCCCATTGCTGGTGTCCCCGCCGTGGCATTGCTCGAATGTTGCTAAAAGCGGCGTAAAACCATAGTTACTCGCTCCAGCTTTCAAAGCCTTTGTGCACATGTGTTCTGAGCTTATAAAAATATATATTATTGAAAACAAACATGCTTTTGGTTTAATAATTTCATAGGAACGTTAAGTATATATATTCCTTCCATTGAGTATCATACCTTATTGTATGGTACGTGTACATACGTGAACGCCAGCTTTAAACCATATTGTATTTTTACTGTTTGTATCATTTGTTTCTTATTTGATCATACATGGAATATCGCCTTGTAGCACAAGCAACGCAACGGACTGGACCGGTCAGTTTTAACGTTGTCATGACAGCATCAGTCGACCAGCGGGTTCTAAGCCATGATCGCGTTGGGGCGATCTTTTCACCGAAAGTAGATAGAAACATGTTTTGGACCTTTTGGAATCTCGTAGTTGTGACAAACCACAGTTGAAACTGTTAACTATTTTGTACAATTTAATGTTTACTGATTAACATAAAGAAAACAATAAAGCTGATTAAAGTCGGACGCCCTCTATAATCCTTCTATTGTGTAGAGTGAGTGAGTTGGGTTTAACGCCGCTTTTAACATTATTCCAGTCATATCGCGGCGTGTCAGCTTAATGTGGGAGGAAAGCCCGAAGTGATGCAGGTCTCAGACGTTTACCACTTCGGTGAAACCCACGAGCACGGGTATGGTGCTGACAAACCTAGAAACATAATCGGGGCGAACCGGGATTCGAACCCACAATCATAGGTTTCTGGCGTGCCCAAGAGACGGAACTCTGCACAGCGAATCGCGGCGCCTTAGACGACTGGGCCACCCGTTCCCCCTCTATTGTGTAGAGAATTACTTGTAAAAATTCACAAGGAGGCTTAGTGACAGGGGGCATATCGCACTTTTTTATGCTATTTTCAAACATTGTACAATAGGTCGTCGATGATATTTATTTTGTTTGTTGTTTAACGCCGCATTCAGCAATATTCCAGCTTTTTGACAGAGGTATCTTAATAATCGGGACTGGACCAGATAATCCAGTGATTGGTTGCTGCATATCTCGTCTCTTCCCGGATCGTCACTGCTCTTGTAGTAGTATCAGTAGTTGTAATAGAAGTAGTATTAACAGTAAGTAGTATTAGTACTAATATAAGTAGTAGTAGTAGTAGTAGTAGTACAAGTAGTAGTGCTGGATATAGGTGGTGATCAAGCTCGCTGACTTGGTTGATGCATGGCGTTGATTGCGTGGATCGATGCTCATGATATCAATCACTGGATTGTCTGGTCCAGACTCGATTATGTTGGTTGGTTGGTTGGTTTGTTGTTTAACGCCGCACTCAGCAATATTCCAGCTATATGACGGCGGTCTGTAAATAATCGAGTCTGGACCAGACAATCCAGTGATTAATATCATGAACATCAATCCACGCAATTGGGATCGATGACATGCATCAACCAAGTCAGCGAGCCTGACCACCCGATCCCGTTAGTCGCCTTTTACGACAAGCATAGTCACCTTTTACGGCAAGCATGGGTTGCTGAAGACCTATTCTACCCCGGAATCTTCACGGGTACAAACCGCCCTCATACGCATGTAGCTGGAGTATTGCTGAGTGCGGCGTTAAACAACAAACAAACAAACTAGTGGTGGTAAGGGAAGTAATAATAATAATAGTAGTAGTAGTAGTAGTAGTAGTAGTCGCGGTGCCGGTAGGGGCGGTGGAAGTAGTGGTTGTATTTGTAGAAGTAGTGGTGGTGGCAGTAGTAGTGGAAGTTGTTTTTGTAGCAGTAGTGGTAGTGGTAGTTGAAGTAGTAGTGTTAGTTGAAGTAGTAGTGGTAGTAGATGTAGTAGTAGTAGTAGTACGATATTGTTGTTTCTGTTGCTGATGTTGTTTCCTGTTCTGTTGCTGATGTTGTTTCTGGTTCTGTTGTTTATTCCCACAAAACGTGCGTATGAATACACAGATCTTACGATAGTAGTAGTAGTAGTAGTAGTAGAGGAAGTAGGAGTGGTTATAGTAGAGGAAGTAGTTGTGGTGGTAGTAGTAGAAGTAGTGATGCTTGTTTTTTTACTACAATAAACCCAATGTATCTTCACTTATACAGCATTCAGTACAGCTGTAACCTGGTTTCAAACATAACGGTGTTGTAGTACTGTTATCCATGTGACATGGTTTCAAACATAACGGTGTTGTAGTACTGTTATCCATGTGACATGGTTTCAAACATAACGGTGTTGTAGTACTGTTATCCATGTAACATGGTTTCAAACATAACGGTGTTGTAGTACTGTTATCCATGTAACATGGTTTCAAACATAACGGTGTTGTAGTACTGTTATCCATGTGACATGGTTTCAAACATAACGGTGTTGTAGTACTGTTATCCATGTGACATGGTTTCAAACAAAACGGTGTTGTAGTACTGTTATCCATGTGACATGGTTTCAAACATAACGGTTTTGTAGTACTGTTATCCATGTGACATGGTTTCAAACATAACGGTGTTGTAGTACTGTTATCCATGTAACATGGTTTCAAACATAACGGTGTTGTAGTACTGTTATCCATGTAACATGGTTTCAAACATAACGGTGTTGTAGTACTGTTATCCATGTGACATGGTTTCAAACATAACGGTGTTGTAGTACTGTTATCCATGTGACATGGTTTCAAACAAAACGGTGTTGTAGTACTGTTATCCATGTGACATGGTTTCAAACATAACGGTTTTGTAGTACTGTTATCCATGTGACATGGTTTCAAACAAAACGGTGTTGTAGTACTGTTATCCATGTGACATGGTTTCAAACATAACGGTGTTGTAGTACTGTTATCCATGTGACATGGTTTCAAACATAACGGTGTTGTAGTACTGTTATCCATGTGACATGGTTTCAAACAAAACGGTGTTGTAGTACTGTTATCCATGTGACATGGTTTGTAAACATAACGGTGTTGTAGTACTGTTATCCATGTGACATGGTTTCAAACATAACGGTGTTGTAGTACTGTTATCCATGTGACATGGTTTCAAACATAACGGTGTTGTAGTACTGTTATCCATGTAACATGGTTTCAAACATAACGGTGTTGTAGTACTGTTATCCATGTGACATGGTTTCAAACATAACGGTGTTGTAGTACTGTTATCCATGTGACATGGTTTCAAACATAACGGTGTTGTAGTACTGTTATCCATGTGACATGGTTTCAAACCAAACGGTGTTGTAGTACTGTTATCCATGTGACATGGTTTCAAACATAACGGTGTTGTAGTACTGTTATCCATGTGACATGGTTTCAAACAAAACGGTGTTGTAGTACTGTTAGCCATGTAACCTGGTTTGTAAACATAACGGTGTTGTAGTACTGTTATCCATGTGACATGGTTTCAAACAAAACGGTGTTGTAGTACTGTTATCCATGTGACATGGTTTCAAACAAAACGGTGTTGTAGTACTGTTAGCCATGTCACCTGGTTTGTAAACATAACGGTGTTGTAGTACTGTTATCCATGTAACATGGTTTCAAACATAACGGTGTTGTAGTACTGTTATCCATGTGACATGGTTTCAAACAAAACGGTGTTGTAGTACTGTTAGCCATGTAACCTGGTTTGTAAACATAACGGTGTTGTAGTACTGTTAGCCATGTAACCTGGTTTGTAAACATAACGGTCTTGTAGTACTGTTATCCATGTGACATGGTTTCAAACATAACGGTGTTGTAGTACTGTTATCCATGTGACATGGTTTCAAACAAAACGGTGTTGTAGTACTGTTAGCCATGTAACCTGGTTTGTAAACATAACGGTGTTGTAGTACTGTTAGCCATGTAACCTGGTTTGTAAACATAACGGTGTTGTAGTACTGTTATCCATGCGACATGGTTTCAAACATAACGGTGTTGTAGTACTGTTATCCATGTAACATGGTTTCAAACATAACGGTGTTGTAGTACTGTTATCCATGTGACCTGGTTTGTAAACATAACGGTGTTGTAGTACTGTTATCCATGTGACATGGTTTCAAACATAACGGTGTTGTAGTACTGTTATCCATGTGACATGGTTTCAAACAAAACGGTGTTGTAGTACTGTTAGCCATGTAACCTGGTTTGTAAACATAACGGTGTTGTAGTACTGTTAGCCATGTAACCTGGTTTGTAAACATAACGGTGTTGTAGTACTGTTATCCATGCGACATGGTTTCAAACATAACGGTGTTGTAGTACTGTTATCCATGTGACATGGTTTCAAACATAACGGTGTTGTAGTACTGTTATCCATGTGACATGGTTTCAAACATAACGGTGTTGTAGTACTGTTATCCATGTGACATGGTTTGTAAACATATGTCGGCCTAGAGTCATATACATTCACTGCTATAATCGCCTGCACACCATACAAATAAACAGATGTGTCAAGGCCAGGTTCGTAGATCATCAGGGCATTAAATTTCAAATTTAAAGTGTGTTTCCGGTCCTTCATGTCAATAACGTTAGCTGACATTATACATTAGAGCTGTAACTGGAGGTCAGACATAGTATTACTGTTAACGTCAAGCAGGTTCTTATCTCATTCACACTGTGTTCTGCCTGGCAACAGTGTCAACTCTCTTGACTCGACTATCACACAGGCCATGGCAATGTGTTCTTATCCGATTGTTTGTTTTGTTTGTTGTTTAACGGACAATTCCGCAACATTCGATCTATATATTGGTCTGTAAATAAGTGAGTCTGGACCTGACACTCCAGTGATTGATATCATGAGCATCGATTCATGCAATTGGGATATGATGACATGCATCAACCAAGTCAGCGAGCCTGACCACCCCGATCCCGTTAGTCGCTTCTTACTTCAAACAGGTTCGTTTTTTAACCGGTTTGTTGCAGTACAGTCCCGTTTCGATATGAAGGGGGGGAGGGGGGGGGGGGGGGGTGGGGGTTAACGTCGCGTCCAAGATTATTACACTTATATAGCGACGTGCATGCATTGTGTGGTTGCTTGTACTAGTCCGGACTGATGCCGATTTATAGTGCTTGCTCACCGAGATACCATGCCGCAGTTTAACATGAATACCCCACTCAGACACAGTATACTGACTCCGAGCCGACCAGTCCTTGTTTTAGCCCCTTAATGCCGAGCGCCTGACAGGGTAACAACAAGTACAATCTTTTAACGTCTTTTGGTATGACGCGGCCGGTGATCGAACCCCGGACCTTCCGCTCTCCGGGCGGACGCCCTACCACTAGACCACGGAGGCGGTCGCAGCTCTTGGAGATGTAGGACGGTAATAAGATGGATCCTTATAATCCTGTCAAGGTTGGGTTAAAAGACTACAATCGCATTATGCCAATGAGGAGAATTGCATGGTTCCCAAATATTAATATAAGTCTGTATATATGATTGAGGCAAGTATTTCAGGAACTGACAGTAAAAAGCATCTGCTCCAGCTGCGACACCACAAGCTTTCCCAATTGAGCTCATGTAGGTAAAATACTTCACTGCAATTATCAGAATTTACTATCCTTTTTCTCTTTCTGAATTTGTTTTACAAATAGGATGGTAATAAGATGATGTAGAATGTTTAGCTAAAGTTTCGTGGACTGACCTGTGACCGCTCTCCGGGTGGACGCTCTACCACTAGACCACGGAGGCGGTCGTTTCGATATGGAGGGTGATGTTCCACATCTGAACAAGGAGAGAGCTCACCTGTGGGTCCTTGGTATGTCAGATGTCAGGAAACGAATTTCTATTACAGTAAGTAGGTGTATATATATATATATTGCCTGTTTGTGATGTGTTGATCACGAACGGAGGACATTTCTCCACTCGGACAATACACCAAACTGGCATTTCAAGAAATGGGCTTTTCCCACGTTTAGTAATAAAAAAAACTATGTTAAACAACAGCATGTGATTTTCCATATAGTTTTATTTACAGGTTGCTCACCTGCATCTAAATAGGGATGACACTGAAGATTGAAACAAAAATCGTTTTTTTTAAAATATTTAATCAAACATGCTGGAGCATGGAATTGATCATGTGCAGGTCGAACAAGCGCTGGAACTCGAATTCCGTTTGGAATTGGAAGGATTAAGAGATGTTATTACAATTTACCGCACTTGGTATTACGATTTGCCGCAGTTTGTTACAATTGACAGAAATTGATGCAATTGAGGTTGGAATTGATCATGTTCAGGACGAACAAACACTTAACTCGAATTCTGTTTTGAGTAAATACAAATACTAAGAATTTAATGTATAGTAGGCTTGATGAATTCAGTCGTTTCAAAGTCCCGATTTGGATTTCCTAACAGCTAATTAGTCGCACATTTTAAACTTCATGCATATTTCTCTGTATATTTGCAAATGAATAATATTTTATTACACTTTACCGCAGTGGTTATTAAAATTTGCCGCAGTGAAGTTATTCAAATTTGCCGCAGTTTTATTACAATCAATTTACCGCAGTGAAGTTATTACAGTTTACCGCAGTGTGTATTACAATTTACCGCAGTGTTATTACATTTTACCGCAGTTTATTAACGCTACGCTAAACCCATTTCACCACACCTCATTTCACTTTTCCGAATAATACTGATTCCCCAGGAATCTATCGACTGGATAGAACCCGCTTTATAAATAGATCCACCGCGTTGTCTGTGTTTAATTTGTAAACAATCCGATTGCCAAGCACTCAGGCCAAACTTTGGACTGAGAGCTTGGCAATCGGATTGTACCCAAAGCACAATGTGCGAGAGCGCCTGTCGCCTTTTAACACGCCGTTCATGTCAGCTCAATCAGCAAGCTTGGTTGACCTGTCACCTACATTTCCACGAAAGCGTCGCTTACCAGGAAGAAGATAGCGTCCAACGATTAAAATGGCGGTCCTGACCGTGCACACTGAACCTCGCAAGGCAAAATACAAGCTGTGTGATGATGCATCTGGTATGTTGGAAAGCTCCGGAACCAGTAAAGTGGAACACCGCCCACACCAAAGGGACGCTACTGCAGGACGCTGCGACGGGAGACTCACATAGGGCGAAGCTGTACTTCGGTGTAGCTGTACTCTTAGTGTCACTCGGGGTCAATATCATAAGCGCTCTGTACCTCTGGAGAGCTGTTGGACGCGAAGGAATGACGGTCCGCGAGCTGAGGCTCTTGTGTCGGTGTTGCACGATGAGGGCACGGTTTGCACGGACTGCGGGTCACTGGGTGTTCAGCCGGGCACTTACAAGTCTAACCTGCACGGGCTTTACGTGCGTCACGTGACGGGATCATCCTATTTGTGTTGTTTACAAAATGCTGAAGGATTATGGAGACTCGCCTCGATAGTGAGTAATTACTCCCAAACATAACACAAAAAAATATATTTAAATCTGACATTGAGACTCTATGATTTAAACTTCATACATTAAATCCCCGTGATGATTCGGGGTAGAATAAGTCTTCAGCTACCCTTGCTTGTCGTAAGAGGCACAGGAGTCCGTATCTAAAAATAGACACCCTCATGCATATTCATGACCATCTCCACATGCGAGCCCGAAGCCTTCGGGCTCGCGTGTGGAGATGGTCATGAATATGCATGAGGGCGTCTATTTTTAGATACAGACTCCTGTGTAAGAGGCGAGTAACAGGATCGGGAGGTCAGGCTCGCTGACGAGGTTATTACATGTCATCGTATCCCAATTACGTGGATCAATGCTCATGATGTCATTGATGATGTCAATCACTGGATTGTCTGATCAAGACTCCATTATTTACAGACCGCCGTCATATAGCTGGAATATTGCCTGAGTGCGCACTAGTTTACCTAACTAGTTTATCCTATCGATAGCATAGTCCAGTGCGAATAGGTTATCACGATCTGATAAATTCACAATTGCGGTACCCAAGCGAAGTCAGGAACTACTTTTGATAAGCACCATGCCTCGAAGCAGCGTCAACTCGTTCATCAGAATACTGCCCAATAAGTTTATACAGATGTTTCATGATGTCCATCTTCCCGAGGCAAGAGAGTTAACTGACTATAAAAGTCAAGTGTCCACCCTTGCCGAACTAGGCTTGTATTATGGAGTTACGTTTTGGCTGGACTAACTACATCTTCCCAAGGCAAGTGAGTTAACTGACTATAAAAGTCCAGTTTCTACCCTTGCCGAACTAGGCTGGTATTATGTAGATTCATTTTGGCTGGACTAACGAGTCTATGCATAGTCCTATCAAAATCGCGCACCGAAATCGAAATCCTGTTCGTAAAGTGTCAATATTGCAGATTTCGGTCGACTGCAGCATTTGCAAAACATGTGCACCGCTAACTCGTTGTCAACAGATATTTTCTAATCTATTCATGTTTTTAATCAAGGTGCTCACGTGATTTGATGCACTTCGCCATGTTAGACTCGTCTTATCACAATTT